CACGCCCGAAGAGTTGCGCACCTCAGCGCAGAAGAACAAAAAGAATGGACGAGAAGTGTTAAGCAAATTGTAACATATTTGATCTTTAGACAGAAAAGAATAAGATTTTCGCTCATAAATGAAAATACATAGGCTTCAAGTAAGAGTAAATCAGGTCTTGACGAATCTGCTTTATTGAAGAAAGACTACAGAAAACATTCTTAATTGGTGGTAAGTGCTCCTTTTAAGTACATTGTGTTCGCTAATTTTTCATATAAAAAAGCAACCAAAGTTTTTTTTTAGAATTTCAAGATATGTCTATAGCAATTTTGGAATAACCTTTAATGAGTACCTTTTTAAAGAATTTTATCGTCATATTCTACATCTCTCAGTTCGAAAATATCACTTTCTCTGTTCCTTATCATGCCTTACAAAAATCTTTACTATTTCACAGGTGTTTCGCCGGATCAAATTTATGCCTTTTTAGGCTAAAATTGTTGCTGAAGTTTAAGCCACCCTATTAAGAATTTATAATCTCCATTTCATCAAAAATTATGCGTTTATTATACGCTGAATTCAGGTATATGCAGCTGCCAGTCTTTAATAGATTTGCACAAAGCAATGAGCAACAAACGGAATGAGCTCGTTCAAAAGGTGATCGCGAAGGTTATCAATGAAAGTATTCCATATGTCAGTTTTCTCTCAAATAGTTTTCACTCATTCTACCCTTTCTGTAGTATCTAGTACATACTTATTTTAAGTTGTTTATTTGCATGTTGCCGCTTATAACTTCTTCTTCACTATTGAATAAATAACATTTTAGGCTACAGACGCCCCACAACCTGCTCTTGCGGAATACGAAACCTTTCATCAAAGCCAAACGGTGAGCTGTATGTAGCATAGTGCTTACTCGCATTTCGACTGTAATAGCAACAATTTTGTTTCTTTTTTTACATCGACCTAAATTTGCAAAACTTAATCTTGGAAAAAAAGATTTGCAAAGCATATACAGGCATACCATACAATGAAGTTCCTATCTCCCCCTAATATAAAGTACTTCTTTTTTATTTTGCACATTTTGCTTTTTCATTAACTGGAAATACTCAACCAGAAGATTTTTTCTTGTCATTTCAGAGGTTCTATAGTCAGTCAACGCTCTTTAACTCATTTTCTTCCAGTTACATTTAAATCAAAGTTATTGCAGCTTATTAAATGGCCTTCTAGTATAAAAACAAAGCTTCAGAAGTGACACAAGCTGTCGAATGTTTAAAAAAAGTGCAACGGTCTGCACGTAAACATGTCTTGTACAATTAATTGAACATTCCTCAATCAACTTTTATTTTATTTATTTTCGTAAATTTTTCCCCACGTACACTAAGTTATAAGGAAAAGCAGACCAAAATTTAGCAACAACCATAGAGTAATGCCATAAGCAACTAATATACCTACATTAGTTCCAGTTCTTCTGTTGAAGTTTTCTAGTGAAAAGCGCAAATTTCTCTCCATTTACACATTCCAATCCATCATATTCTATTTAGCTTATGCAAATCAC